ATTTGTGGCATTTCAATTCGTGCGCCAAGCGATGACCATATGCTGCGTATATCTAATCCTCCTCATATCCAAAGAGGATGCTATTCTGTTTGCAAGTTTGCAAGATATGTAATTATAGATATAATACTTATTTATTTGAAATCTGCATACAAACTTACGAGGCCATAGCAAGACCCCAAAACAAGACTCAAATAGGAAAATGGAGTGGTCACAGAACCCCTTTCTTGCAACCAACACTCTCTTTACGACGCTTATTCGGTTATGATCTTAGTAGTATTCTTCGACTTCGATATCCAAAAAAAAAAAAAGAAACCCGAAACCCATTACAGAATATACAAAAAGAAAGCTGGCTAATCCATCCGTGGCTGCTGCAGCTGCTAATAGTTGCGCATAAACACAGCTCTTTGTAGACGGAGGAATCGAATCAGTGCCACATGTTACCTAACATTGGCATGACACTAGTCAATACATATATAATAAAGTCTTTAGATAGTTAAAAAGACGATGGTCGGGTCTATAAAAGCTCGTCCCATGGCCATCGTCTTGGCTGCTTCTTGTTCAGAAGAGCTTCTTTGAAGATTCTTGCAGTGGAATGAACGAATCCTCCAGATCCTCCTCATCTATCATAATCTCCTCTGAACGGCATTCTGCGCTGCAAAACGCTTTCTCTCTGCAATTTATTCACCACACAAACGTGACAAGATCAGATTTTTCGAAACCCCTGAAGGAAGATGTTTTATATGCATATGAATTGGACAAGGAGCACGAACCTGTACATATATATGTCTTCGCCGACATCAAGTTTCTTGTTGCAAAAGTTACAGAGGTTGAGGAAGTGATCCGAGGGAAACGTGGAACCTAACTCTGTTTTGAAGAGTTTCTCTGTAATATCATCTTCCTTCGCGTGACACTCTAAAACTCGGTCACCATAAATATGAGTGGTTTTCGGGTTAGCACCATGCGCAGTGATACAAGTGTAGTCCTCTGACATCTCCTCCATGTAATCCTCCTCAGATAGACAAGAGGAGAATACATTGTCCGAACAAATCCCCCGGAAGTACCCTTCTCCGCCCAACTTGGATCGAGACAGAACTCGGGTTTTTCGCAAACAATCATTCGCAGAAAAGGATCGGTTTCTTAACCCGATTGGCTCAGTATCAGATGAGTTCTCGCCGATTTCGAAAACGACACCAGATCTTTCCTTTTCGATCATCTTCTTCACAGGGCCAGGCTTGTGTGGTTCTGGGAACAAGTTGGGATGTTTGTCCTTAATCCTCAAAGCGGGTCCAAAGACGACATCTGGTGACAGAATCCGATCATCGCCGACTCCGAGAGAATCCACAATGCTTAATAACCCAACTTTAGCAGGGCGGCCACAACAACAGTTGAGATGAGCAGTGAGTGAAGATATAGGAGATCTGAGGAAGAATGGCTCAGCCATCGTAGACAACATCCTGAATTCAAGAGGAGATTTAGGGCTCCTTACAAAATCAGAATCTGAGATGTTCTTGTTGTTCAGACCGATCAAGAGACTCAGAGCCAGTGGGTTCGTAGTGATCGTTTTGGTGTTGTTGTTATGTCCGACCAAATCTGATTGTTGATCCACAGATTGAGACATTGTTTGATCTTTGTGGCGAAACCTTGCTCTTGTCTTCAACATTTACGGTTATGCTTCTCTGGATCTGTTCATAGATTATAGAACTTATTATTATCAGAGAGTAATACAAATACAACACCAGGTGTTCATAAACACTTTATATTATTAGTATGTAAATTATAATTAATTATGCCGGTAAATTAGTAGTATCAGATAAATTAAACCAAAAAAAAGCACCCTTCTTTTTGGATATATGAGATATCTATAAGGAATCAAAGAATGAGATTTCACAAGAATATGCCAAAAAAATCTTAAATTAATTTCCTACGAAGATTTTCGCAAGCTAGAAATCAGCGGAGAAACATTTGCAACGGACGAAACAAAATGGTAATTTCTGATAATTTGTTAGCGAATTTTAGAATAAATAGCTAAGTATTGAAAGGAAATATAAACCATGCAAGCTTTATAAACTTAGAACAAATAAATTTTTTCTAGAGAAAGAAAATTAAGATTAGACCCCAGATACATACATAAGAAACTAGAATTAAGCACAATCTTCAGACTTAAATAAAGGGGAAAATAAATGTTTTTGGGTTTTTACTTATACAATTTTCTGGTTGATCGAAATCAATTTATGAGATGGGTTTCTTACATGGATCTTGTAATCGGAAATAGAAAAAAACCCG